GATTATGGTATGAATTGGTATTACTAATGTTATTATTGGCCATATTGTATTTGTTATTATTATTATTATTAATATTGTTATTATTTTTAATATTGTTATAATTGATATTATTATTATCATTGATATTATTATTATTATTGATATTATTTTTATTATCATTGTTTTTTTGATTAAAATTATTTTTATTAATATTATTATCATTGTTTTTTTGATTAAAATTATTTTTATTAATATTATTATTATTGTCATTTTTATTATTGTCATTTTTATTATTGGTATTATTATTATTATTATTAATAATATTATTATTATTATTATTATTATTATTATTATTTGAAAATTTAAAAAATGAAATAACTGGTGAAAATAAACTAAAAAATTGTGACATTATAAAGCTATAATATAATCTATGATTATGTTGAAATTTATTTATTTATAAAAAATACTATATAATTTTAAAGTTATAATATATGATTTATATGAATGAAATAAATAAATGAAAAAAAAAATTGGAAATTTCAAAATTTTTAAATTGAAAAAATTAATTAAAAATTTAAATTAAAAATAAATTGAATTTTAAATTTTTTTTTTTTGTCTGGATTTTTCAATTTTTTTTTTAATATTTAAACATAAGGCGCCTTCAATATTAAAATATAATAATAATAAAATAGAAAAACAATAAAATTAATAAGTAAATTAATAAATAATTAAATATAAAATATTTTAAATTTCCATTGGAATCACATATATATATATTTATATGGGTATTCTGGTTAAATAAAGAATATAGATGGCTAGTTAAACTTTCTTATGAGTTTGGATTACAGGTAAGCATTGTTATTTTAACTCTTTCTCACTTGAATCTTTTTTAAAAATATTTCTTTTAACTTTAATAATATTTATTTGTAAGGAGGTAATTTAGACCTAAAAAAAATAGGAAATAATAGTTTTAATTATTAATAGTTCTTTTATTCTTTATAATTCAAATAATTAAAAAAGAAAAAAAAGAAAATAAATAAATATTTTAAAAAAAAATTCCTTTGTTTTATTTATTTTTTTAATGTAATTTATTTTTTTTATTTTTGTATTTTATTGTATTCTTTTTATTTATATCAATAATATTTATATTATTATCTTTTTTAATTGTTGTTTTATTATAAGTATTACAAAGTTATTTCTTGGTCTATTGAAATACAAATGTTTGATTCATGTGAATGCTTTTAATGTTTTAATTGCTTTTGATATTCACCATCATTGTTTTTTTGGCCAAAATGTTATTTGAGGAACCAAAATTTGTTGTTTTCGATGAGGACGTGTGATTTTTTTAATATAAGATTTGGAAATAAGTATTAAACATCTTAAAAGATAACTCCTTTGTTTCTAATGTGGAAATCTTTGTGTGGTTAATTAATTTTTAATGTTTTTTTCTTTATTTATTTTTAAATTCTAAAATTCCCTTTAAAAAAAAAATATAATGTAAAATAAATAAATTAAATATTAAAATTTAAAAAAAAAATTTATTAAAAAAATTTTAAAAAAATTGTTTTGAACAAAAAAGAATCCAAAAATGTATATTAAGAAGTTAAACTTAGTTTATATGAGTTTAAAGATAAATTAACCCTTTAAACAAAAAATAAAAATACACATATTTTATCTAAATTTAACCTTTTAATCATTTCTGAAATTTTATAATAATCATAAATATAACACCCAAAGTATTAAATAAAGAAATTTTTTTTTTTGAATTAAAAAAATCGGACGACTGAATCGACATGTCAGCCATTTCCGATTAATATTTAAAAAATAAATATATAAATAAAATAAATTTAAAAAAAAAAAAAATTTAAAGTATATATTTATTTTATTTAATTTTTATTTAGAATCTAAATATGATTGATCATTGACTGATTTTGGTAAACCTGCAAAAAGTGTACCATTTTGGTATATGTGCATTTTCTTTAACTTTATAGAGACCTGATAATTGTCCTTGTTGTTCCTTCGGTATACAGTACAGTTTGCATATATGTATTATTATGAATTAAAGGGGTCCTTCTTTTCATTTGCTCTATAATCAGAATATATGAATGCTACTTTATTTTTTTTCTCTTGTGTTGAATAAACCTTCTATTTGATTCTCTAATCTGTTCCACTTCTAAATAATACTTGTTATTTTTATATGATTGATTTTACTTGTTATTTTTTAATGCTAAATAATACTTGATTTTTTTGTATGCTCCATATTACTGATGTTTTAAATATTTTTTAATTTTATTAATGTTTTTATTAACTTGAGAATTATCTTTATCTCTTAAGTTAAATCTTTCACTTTGTGAAACATAAAAATCATTTAAAGTATTCAATGATATATTATCATTAGAATAATCGTAATCTTCAATATATGAAGTATAAGGGTAATAGGAAAAAATAAATTTATTTTTATTTAAATTATTTAAAAAGATTTTATCAGCGGATAAATCTTGGCATGATAGTCAGCTTTTAAACTTCTTTGAATTCTCCGGCTTGCTTATCAACCTTTTAAAATTCACCTTTATGGTTCAATGATGGTTTACCACCTTTGTTAATTGAACCACGACCATGTTGATCAGATGGTTTCCTTTTAAAATGATTTTCGTTATTTTGGAATATTTCTAAGGTCTTATTTTTTAGTTCGGCAATCGTATTGCCCTGATCGTTTGCCCTGATGAATTCATTTGTGAAAACGTCTGGAACGATTGAACTAAGGATAACTTTACCAATGAGTTTGTTGTTCTCTTTGAAAAAGTTAACCTTTTCTTCGGGGGTCATACCAAATGCGATTGTTGGACAAACACGGTCAATGAATGACATGGCCGCAGTAACATTGTTGACACATTCTTGCAAACTGTCACAATTCTTGTTTTTGACGGCGGTGCAGTATTCCTCAACTTTGGATAAAGCGCTTGAGCTGACCGGTATGACTGTTGCTGGTGGTTTGAATTTTTCATCAAGAATTTGAATCAAATCATCACATTCGATTTGGTAATTTAGACGCTGGTCATGCAATTTAAAGCC